CCCAGGATTGCTCACATGTCTTCTCTTCAGTAGGGCAGTGCCTTCAGGGCTCTATCCTAACCAACACCACCTGATCTCTAAAACTCCACTCTTTGAGCCCCAAAGATTACAAAAACTCATGAAGATCAACTCCTCTTATTTTCCCAGCCAATGACTTTGTGGAAGTGCTCTCCTTGTGTGATCCCCTGTGTGCTCCACTCTCATTTGCCTTTCTCTGCGACCACAGCTCCCTCCCCTCTGCAGCGCTCCTGATCCATTTCTCCCCTAAACCACGTCTCAGTCTCTGCACTTCCTACCTTCCTCAGTGTAGCGTCTTATCTCCCTCTAGTTGTGCAGTTTGTCCTGTCAGTTCTCAGGTTGATTTCTTGGCTATTCAGAATGATTTGATAGTTATGTAGGTGTGTTCAGGGGATGAGACAAGCCTAGAGTCCTCCTACTATGTTACCATCTTAGCTCCCCTTATGAATAGACCTCTTGTTCTCCACCTTTAGTCACGTTAAAGCAAACATATATTAAGCAACATAGGTACTATAAGATCTAATTGAAATATATATTTCTCAAGCATATTATACATAGCACAGTTAAGTGCTGAAAGTAAAAAACTATTGTGTTTTTCTTCAAAGGATAATTTTATTTCAATCATAGTTTCTCTCTGGAAGGTAACTTCACAATTTTCAGGGCTGACTTTAACATTTGAATACAGCAATTAAACTGCTACTTGATGTGATAATGAATATATATAGGCTGTGGAGAGGTCCAAGTATGAATTAAGTAACTTGTTATATTCTGGATGCTTCAGGCAAATTTCTTAAAGTTCTTGTATAATATGTATTTTGAATTCTGTCCAGCTATTTTCTGAAAGAGTCTGGAAACATCAAGATCTGGCACTCTAAAGGCTTCCCAAAGTGTAGCAGCTAACTAACTCCTGCTGTGTTATGAAACCAACCTCATCAAGATCAAAAAGCTTAAATGACATTTGTAGAATCTTTTCAGTGTTGATAGGATTGCACAGGGCAGTCAGTCCTATCACATTTTCTCTGAATTCTATGCTACCATCATTATTCCTGTCAAAGGGGGCAAAAAGTTGTTCTAAGGGCTCTGAAATTAGGATTTTTAAATAATTTGCAAACTCTTCAAGTCCTATCTTCTCTCCCTTAGAGGCAACTGTAATTGCAGCATATTCATCCAGATGCTGATGAATATTACCCCAATCTCACTTCAATTTCTGGCTAATTTCTGTGAATTCCACCAAACTATCTTCCATGGGTAGTTAAAGGTTACCTGTGAAAATCATTAGTCTACAATCTTCATAACTATGGTCTGTCACAGACACTCAGAGCATTTGCCATGTTGATCCTCACTATATCAGCAAAAGGGATGTGTCTTTTTTTTTCTTGATTATTTTGTATATAAATAGGCATGAACACCACTTCTCCTCTGGTGAAGAGTTGACTCAAGGTCAATATATAGACCTAAACCTGTCTATAAACCTGTAAACCCTTCCTAGATCTAGGTCACTGTGTCCAGTGTGTTTAGGTACCTAGGTAGCACTGGCTGCACAGGAACACCCAGAGAGAAGTCCCCTAGTTTAAAAGTGACCAGACAGGTACAATTGGTGCACACTCCTTCCAAGAAAATCAGGATCTGTGGCCACTTCCTTTCAGATGTGAATAGCTTCAGGATTTCATTCCATGTATTCTTCCTGGAACTGGGGTCCTATCAGGTTACAAGCAGAGGCTGTGTTGGCATTAGGAGTTTTCCAGCCACTGGGGTCTGTGTGTTTTGACTTGCCTAGACCATCTAGGGTAACCCTGCCACCACACAGGCAATTGGATCAAAAAAAGTGGAGTGCGGCACTGTAACAAAGATGAGAGCCTCATCTCTGGTTGCATTTTCCCCCTTCGCTTTAACCAGGAACCCCACTAAACAGAATGTTGACTGAAACAAGAATTTGAGGACTGGTTGCACCTGCTTCTTCCCCCAACTCGTAGTGGTGTTGGCTGGTTGAGCAGAACCGCCCTTGGTGGAAAGTGTGGCCACTGGCCAGAGGCCAATGAAGAGGAAGGCGATGCAGGACTCACATCCCAGCACCAGCACAGTCCCAGTGAGGATAAGACAGGCCCAGCACCACCAACTGAGGTGCCTCTGCCGCCTGAAGGGGTTGGCCACTGCATGTGGGTACGACATGCTCATCCCATGACTCACGGTGGACTCCCACACCTGCACCTCGAATTCCAAGCTTGGCTGAGCCCTGAGGCCAACTTCTCAGTGGTCTCAGGCTGTGGGTAGATTGGATCTGGAGGCAACCCTCAGAGCGCACTCCTTCCCCACATTCAAGTGCTCTTTCTGTTCACACATAATTAGAACTCTCAGATATAATGTGGGTTAATAGGAAATGAGGATGAATTACCTCTAAAATCAGAAAAGTTAAAAATGATAAATGGTGTAATAGAATCAAATCAAGAGTATAATCATTTTTGTTTTTTTTAAATGTTTTCCTTTTGACATATATGTTTAATAAATCATTTTCACATAATTTTTGACATTTATATTAAGGACATATTATGTACCTACTAGGGATATGTTAATTTAAATAGATGAATATTAATTACAACTTTTTCATTTAAATGCCATTACCACTAAAGTTTACTTACTGTGAGATGCTTTGGGAGCTGGTAAGTCAAATTCATTTACTCTCCCTACAAATTGATTTCTACAGAGATAGTAATATCACTTCATGCTAAGAGGTTTAACTGATGGCACCCTTGAGCCTTTATATCTGTCACAAGCACTCTTCCACATGAATAGAAAATTAGAATATATCCATTATCATAGGCTGGAATTAGCCATGGCACATTTGATTCATATTCTTAACATGAGTCCACATGAACAGTCAGCATTCCAAACTGACATTAAGTAACAACAACAAACCCTAAAATCACCTTTGTCAGTAACAAGTTTTCAGTAAAATAAGTCAGGACTATTTTACTGGGTCAACATACGCTGCCAATGAAGTCCTATTCCTCCCTTTGTTGCTGCCCTTCAGAAAGGATCAAGAGGAAAGCATAATCAAAGTTGGTGTGAACCAGGCTTTCTTCTATACCTTGTAAAATTTGCAACTCTGAAAGTGCTATATAGGATATTCCTATATTTGCTAATTACTAACATAACTTCCTTTTCCCGGGATTAAAAGTCAAATTGTAGGTTTCTGAGAAATGTTTCTATTTATTGGAGCACAGCAGGTTACCAATAAAACAGAAAGAGCAGTGTAGATACAGAGCCTGTTATCTTACTGGAAAGATTAGAGGCTTTATAACCAGATGAATCTAGGTCAGATTCTGGTTCCAACAGTTACGCTGTGGGCATTGGCCAACCTTATTTTCACATCTATAAATTGGTAATACTCTGTACCTTGCAATGTTATTATGAGGCACAAGCACAATGTATACAGAAAATTGGGTTTTTATTAATATATACAAGTTGCTTAGGATACAATGATGAGAATTCTTAGAGACATTCCACTTTCTTCTGTCACTATCAGAACTACACTTAGGAATACATTTTTTTCACCAACTTAGTCTTGTTTAGGAACACAGTTGTAGTTTCTATGGAACCATGATTTGGCGATGTTACTGGTTGTCTCCCATGCTAAAGGAGAGCAACCCAAGAGAATGAGTAGTATTCCCTTGAGCTTGTATCATTCTCTATTTTGTAACTCTTCCCATTCTTATTTGTAATGTTTATTTCTACTCTTGAATCCTTGTTTAATTTAACTGCGTTGTGTGTATGCTTCTTTAAGGGAAAGTTCCATGTTACCATGCCGTCTTTCTTTTATATTTCCCTCACGTGCCTAGCAATGTGTCAGATATGTTATTTATTCATTAAGCAAATATGTGAGTGCCTACAATGGAGCCAGGCCCTTATTCTAGATGCTGGATATATGCCAGTTTTTAGAACAGTAAAAAACTCTGCCTTGTGGAGCTTAGATTCTAGTGCACATAGGAAATACTGAATTCAATTCTGGTTGCCTTAATGGGGCAAAAGGACATTTTGATCCTTTGTCTAAATCTCTCACCAATTTAGCTGGAAGATTTATTTTTTTTTTAATTTTTTTTTAAATGGCATTTTCTTTTTTTTAATTTTTTTTTTTTAACGTTTATTTATTTTTGAGACAGAGAGAGACAGAGCATGAACGGGGGAGGGGCAGAGAGACAGGGAGACACAGAATCGGAAGCAGGCTCCAGGCTCTGAGCCATCAGCCCAGAGCCCGACGCGGGGCTCGAACTCACGGACCGCGAGATCGTGACCTGAGCCGAAGTCGGACGCTTAACCGACTGAGCCACCCAGGCGCCCCTAGCTGGAAGATTTAGACAAGTAATTTGTTGGATGTGCTTTTCTACTTTGCAATGTTTAATACATATGTATGTATACATGAGAATCTCTACATCACCTGTTACTAGCTTTCCAGTATAAGTAGTATTATGGCCTGTTTTAAAAATGCATATTCTTCTAGTCATATTTGCCTTCAAACTAATAAATATACTATAAATCCAAGAGATTTGACAATAGAATTTTTTAATGGTTGAAAAATAGTAAAAAGAACTTTTCAACAAAATGAAAATTTATATACCATTGCAGGTTTACCTTTTTTTAAAATATGGCACAGCTAATCTTTAATTTACATTTGTAAAAGGCACCAGATGTTAACAGGGCAAAGAATGCAAGAAACCAAAACTGAGCCATTTCCCCCAACTTCCTTTTTGTACTATTGCACACATTTTAAGGCAGCTGCTTTTCTGTGCAAAATTCAACAGAAGAAAATTGATATCATGTTACAAGTTCACACATTCTCAGATTTTTTTCAATATGATTTGTCAGGATACTTATGATAAAGCATATTAAAACAATTTTTTCCTAATAAGCTTAAAGAGGTTGATGAACAATTATTAAAAATTATTTAGAGATTTCATTACAGATCCCTCATAGAAGACACAGAAAAGTTAATCTTTTCTTCTTGTTTCTTCCTTCAGAAATGTCCATATCAATTTGTTCACTATATCAGGTTGTTCTTGCTGAAGCCAGTGACTGACATCTGACAGTATAGTTAGCCTGAAATAATTTTTAACATAAATCTTTGTGACTTCAGCCATCTCAGCCTCCATAAATGCATCTTTTTCTCCCCACAGTAGGAGTGTTGGAGTGGTCACCATGTGATGTTTGAGAGGCAGGCAGCTATAAAAACAAAACACGTGGATTTGAGATTCATTGTAAAAATTAAAATAACATTTTTCCATTATATTCCTTTAGGCCATACGTGCTCACAGGAAGCAATATTGTCACCAATAGGGTGAAATTTGGTTCTCGGGAGAGTGATAACAATATTACATTCTTTATATATAGATCATGGTTATACACACAGTATATAAACAAATATTAAAATTTCATAGGGTGGGGAGCAATTGGGAAAAAAAAACTCATCTAAAATGGCTCCTTAAGGAGGTGATGATGAAAGAATGAATGGTTGAGAAACACTGCTTTAGGCAATCAATCTATACAATAAAAAATTTAAAAGGCTATTTAAGAAAGGGCTCAATAAAATTTTTAATTGGATGAGGCTAACAAAATTTATAATGAAGGATATAAATTAAGTATGAAATTCACCACTATGAGGAATAATTTGCTTTAAAAGGATACCAGAATTTTTGAGTGGTGTGATAAAAGAGTTTTAAATCATGTCACTTTAAATATATTCAAAATTGTTTTTTAGATAACATAATGCATTTTATATGAAATTGGAACTGAGAAGTCAGAAAATATATATGGACTGAGTTTTACCATTAAATAGTACTGTATTTATTTTGCAAGAAGATTTTA